TTGGCACATAATAATCACACGGTGCTCCAGTCTAATCTGTAACCATCTGCTGTAACTACTGAAGTATGAATAGAACTACATGCACTTTCAAAGTCTGCAGAATGCAAGAAATTCCCAGTTTACATTTTAAAACAATAACTACCACTGTGACGTTAGCACTGGGAGGTTTGTGTCCACTTACTGTGAATTTACAGGCTGATTTACTAAATTGCTGTGTTTATAGTGTAACATTCTGCCCTTGGTTTCCTACCTTGAGTACAGTGATGTTCCAGGTGAAACTCTCCACAGCTTTGTTCAGTTTGCGTCCCTTCAGTCCGTCCTTCTCCCCGAGCCGAGACAGCTCCTCGTGGAAGTCCATTCCTGCCGAACAGCATCAGTTTTTATTTAACTTCGGAGCTACACAAAACCAGAAGCATCATTTACAATATAAACCGAAGACGCAGGTGTACAAATAAACATAAAATCAATGGTAAAAATGTCTAAAAAAAAGCAAAATGAACGACTAGAGGACGTACAATTTAAGACATTTAGAGGTGAAATAAAATGAAATTAAGAGCCTGAATTTCCTCAAGGATAAATAAATTAAAAGGTTCTGATTGTTTGACTGTTTCTAAATTCAGGTGAGATATAGAACTGTTGTGATGTGCCTGAGCTATTTCTGTTGACTGACACAAAATGTCTGCAGGCGAGTGTCAGCAGCACGTCTTGATGGGAGAGCTGTCACTTCCTGGATTGACATATTTACGGAGAAGCAAAGTGCCTCCTGACATTTACATTGGCAGCTAAAGGTCACCAGTTATCTAAGGCGGCGAGAGGAGCTAAAAATACACCGTTTGGCTGCACGGCTGTCACACTGTTCGCAAAATCCAATATTAATGATAACATAAGATAACTTTATTGATCTCTCATGTAAGACAGAAGCGAGGGTTCATTGCCAACAACGTTTCAAGCAGAGACACTTTGATGAATGCGTGCAAAAAATCAAAGCATCTTTGGCGTTTCTTTTCTAATTAGAATCAGGACTTGTGAAGCTGTTTACTGACAGACTCGCCCTCCGAGGAGTCGCCCTCATTAAGGGTCGCCTGTTAGATGTTGGCACGCTGGTGTTTTTGGGATATCCTGCGTTTTACTCATGATCCAAACGGCGTGAGTTCACCTCATGTCAGTGCAGCAGTTACCTTCTCTCTGCACCTGAGCGATCCTCTCCTGAACGCCGTCTGCGTTCTCGATCAGCTGCTTCTGGGCGCCGATCATCTGGACAAACAGGAGACAGTTTGTGTGTTCAAACTCAAGAAATGTCCAAAAACAACCAGAGAAGTCAGGTGTGTGGAGGATTTACTTTGCTCAACTATATAACACTGAGCTGAAAGGTTTAATCAATTAAAGGAACAGATGGATTTGATCATTTATTAATTCAAGTACATTTTCAAGCACATTCTAGCTTCCAAGATGTAAACATGTGCTGCTTTTCTCTGTTTCAGTTTCGACAGTCAAGTCATCTTTTTTAAAAAAGGCCCAAATTACTAAATTTATCAGAGCAAGAAACTGTAAAAGCAGAAAGAATCCAATTTTCAGCTTTCCCAGTCCTTTGAACGCATCCTTTGCAATGTCCGGTTTCATTGAGAAAATCTAAGCTGAAAATATGACATTTATTCTAAATCAGTGACTCTATGTGTCTAATTAAAAAAAAAATTCAACCAAAAGAAAAGTTTGCACAAGATGTTGTAAAAAGAAACATAAAACTGTGAGCTCCTCAGTGCAACCAAAAACCCATCAGACTTTAACTTTCAGATGATCCCTGAAGTAATCATCTGTTATGTGGGCTTCAGGTCGAAAAATGTATTAAATATAAGGTTAAAATGGTTTAATATTTTTTCTGATTTAAATACGGCAAAATTGTGTTTAGAAGGGGGAAAAAAACATTGTAAAAGATCTAATTATTTTTGTGAAAATGCAGATCTTTTGATGTGAACATTATTTAGAGTTTGGCCTGTTTAAATTTAACTTGTAAATTAATATTTTTTCTGTGATTTTATAAGATATGATCTGTATTTGAACAAACAAAGAAAATCAAATAACAATAAGTTGTGTTTAAAAAAAAAGCTGTTATAAAGTTGATATTTTTGCCAGCGTGTCTTCATGACACCGACCTGCTGGGCTCGACTACACCGACAGACATCAACACGATGAGCTGTGAATGGAGTAAATATGTGAAACAGGTGGGAGAGTCTGGTCCTGATCGGATGCAGGAGGAAGACGCAGCTGGCAGCCATAGCTGTGTGTTGGAGGAGGCGTGTGCTCGACTGTTCCATACCTGTCACCTCCAAACGTCTCCCTGCATGTTTAATATCGGAGGACAGTGTAATTGTATGTGGGCAGGTGTGTGCTCAGTGTTCGGAACCAGAAGACAGAATTACATTTGTCCTGTTAAACCAAAGGGGGAAAAAAATATTGCAAAATAAATGAAAAATTAATTTGTAAAAATACAGATCATGGACGTGGATAACATTCACAGTTGTTTTTTTTTTTCAGTCAACATTTAAATACTATTTCTTCTCATATATATATAATATTATATGTAATTTAAGAATTAGCTTTTAGCATTTTTCATATCATAATCTGCAATTTTTTCTTTGAAATAACACAAAAAAGAAGCTATTTTTGATAAATTAAAAACAAAAAAAACATATGGATTTTTAATGTTATTATCACATTCTTATATTTTTGTTAAAGAGAAACTAATGTGACCCCTTTTTAGGTTCCCACAGGTGTTACCAACACTGAAAAAAGTGGGAACCTATAGATATTTTTTATTCTTAATATAGTTATTTATTATCTTTAACATATTTGTTTCAATACTTGTCTCCAATTTTGCAAACACTGCCTGTGTTCAACTGAGAAGTCTCTGAATTTCTGCCATGTGACTGTTGGTCGTAGCTGATTCAAACATGGCTTCACAGTTGCGACATTGAACATAGATTTATTTATTTTTTTTGTAGGACCTGGTGCTTTCTTTTTGGTGAATTTTTAACAGTGATTTCGATTAAAAAACTGAAATTTAACACTAGATTAAGTTAATTTTCCCAACTGAAGCCTATTTCACAGATGATTCGTTCAGGGATCACCTGAAAAAGCTGAAAATCTGACAATTCTTTCCGTTTTTATGGTTTTTTTTGACAAATAAATGGTGCCATTTTGTTAACAGATATAACTTTAGAGAGTTTTAAAAGGCTACTTGAATTATTAAGCGCCACCTGTGTGGTTTCCTCCACAGATTGGAAGCAAATGATGCAGAAACGGACATGACCCCACCATCTTTAAGGATGTTCAACTCAAACAGTAATGTCAGCTGTGAGCCCAGAGGTTACACATATTGTACTTCATAACATGCACAGAAAAACATCAGACAGATATGAGATGGTCAGACAGGAACTTTTTATAAGTTTGGCGAACCGAGGTGCAGCGAGCCTTATCTCCCAGCATCCCTTGGTGTTTCTCACCGTGTCGTATGCGGCCAGCAGCTTCCTCGTCGGCTCCGACAGGCTGACCAGCGGCTCCAGGCTGGGGTATCCCTCCTTCAGCACCATGGAGGCCCCCATGGTGCCTTCGGGGCTCTGCAGCCTCGGGGCCAGGCTCTGGATGCACTGCTTCAGCTTGGCCACAGTGGGGAGCCCACACTGCTCTTTGAAACTGGCCGTGGTGCTCTGAGAGGAGGAAGAAGAGGAAGAGGAAGAGGAAGAGGAGGGGGGGG